ACCAACCCAGAAGTGTGACTTTGGTTGCAGATGAAAGGAGGGGAGTTGGGGGAGGGACAAAGAACATAACTAGTGCCCTGCTGGATTCAACCCCTGGCCCAGCTAGTCCAGCTGTCTGTCCTCACAGTGGCCAACCAACTGCACGAGGAAGCCCACTCAGTGAGCCAGCCAAGCTGGTAGCCAGCACCACATCTCACCACATCTTCCAAAGTTTAATTACACGTTACGTAAAAATAAATTCCTTTTGCCTGTTCTGATTCTTCCAGGGTTCAATTTGTCCCCTTGTCCCCTTTATCCACACAGTGCATCATTTTGTACATATCAATAACATCCCCTCTCATTTGCTTCCTTTCTACACTAAAAAGCCCCAAATGTTGCAATCTTTCCTCATAGGGAAGTTGCCTCAGCCCTTTTGATCATGTTAATTACCCTCTTCTGAACTTTCTCTACCTCCACTATAACCTTTAAGGCCTTGCTTAAACTCTGTGGACTGGATGGGCAGATCGCTGGGCTGAATTAGGCCCATGGGCTGAAGGATACCCATTTCTACTCTAGCACTGTCATTAATAACAAGGATGTTTTTAGCATTACATAGAAATGTTGATAGTATTCTGGAGGAGAGGCATTTATGAGTAGGATTGGTAAAATGGTTGTTTTGTGGCTGGCAGTGCATGCTATGTCAGCTATTTTGGGTACAGGCAAGTCTCCCAGGACAGCCATCTTGTGTGAACGCCTATAACATGCTCTGAAAATTCCATCAGCCCATCTCAATATGACCTGCTTCTAATTATGTTTATAGTGTAGGGTCCTTTGTGCATGGTGATAATGGCATCTCTTCTACTCCTAGTCTAGTATCAAATATATAATTCTGTGCCACCTTTTAGCATTCAGTATGGCAGGTGACAGAAGCAGAGACATGAAATTAGATGCTCTCCAACACTGTTGATTAGAGTGAATGGCATCTCAGTTAATGTACTAATGTGAAATAAAATGTGTATGACACATGGGGAAAAAAGAAATAAAATACAGATGTACATATCCTCGATACATAATTGATTTCAAGTGAAGTAGACACCATATGATGCAGACATATACAAGCAGCCCATGGACAAAGATGATATTGTTTTCAAAACAGTCTCTTTGGAAAGAGGTAAAAACTTACTCTTAAAAGTTGATAGCTGCCAATCTGGAAGAGCCAACATGTTAATTTATTATTGATTTATACTCATTGTTCCATTTTTTTTCCTTTTGGCAGTACAAAAATGTCTGTGGCAAGTTTGAAATCTGCAGGTGTATACAAGAAAATATGGCTTGAATTACCAGGGCAGCTATAGGCAGGTGCTAGTTTTCAGAAGTAAGAAGATGGACAGGGATTGTTTTAGATAAATAGAAGAAATCCAGTACAGGAGCAATTAGAAGGAAAGAGAAGGAAGGGAAGTGAACCAAAGGATTGTGGATGCACAGATCCAGGGCAACATCCAAATATCATAATATTTAAAGCTTAGCTCCTGTGTACAAAGTTTTGTCTGTGAATTAAGGCATGAGGATTGGGATCTCTGTTGATGTCCTTGTAGATTTAATCGTACTATAAACATGAAAAAGAAAAGCACATATCATTAGAAATGAAGACATGGCAATGATGCAAGTCTTTAATTAGAGGCCAATGCTATCTCCCAGCAAGTGATTTCCCAGTGGACTTAAGGAAATGTGTAATGAATAGTAAGTCCCATTTTGCAGGCATCCATCCTTGGACAAACACAACAGTGTGGATGTCTGGATGATTGTATAAAAGCTGTCTGGAAGACCAGGCAGAGCAATTAAATCCTCTTGCCTATATGAACCCACATTACAGGTCAAACAAATCTAATTTTTATTGTTCCTTAAGGAGATGATGTCTATGTGGAAGACAAAGAAGGGATATAACAAAGAACTTTAATGAAAAATAAATGTTCACAAAAATGCCACAGCAACTAAGATAAATTGTATTATAGCAGGAGTTCAAAAGTAATTGATGACTTATGTGGTAATGCTTTGGTAGCCAGGCTGATCTATGATAGATCTCAACTGAACTGGAGGGACCTTTCAAGGAGAAAAACAATGTTAACTTTTAACCTGAATAAAAGAGAAAAAAACATTTCAAGAGATATATGGCAAACTTGCCACTGCCTATTATATGAGCATGTTCTGCAAAGCAAATATTAAAATGATTATACAAAGAAAGAGCAGAAGAGTTTTTTATAGGATTAGCATACATCAGAGGAGAACAGTGCAGCTAGCAAACCATGTACACATCCACAGTATGGAAATCCTTTTCAAAGTTCCTAATAATTATACCACACCACAATCCTGATTGTAACTGGTGCTTTGTGCTGCAACAGTTAATAGAACTATCACATTTATGGACTCTTTCTCCATTCCTCAACATGTCAGGTCTCTGGCCTTCAAAGGCTACTGCTGCTAGTGAAGCAATATGATTAAGTGAACCTTTTAGGACAGATTTATGCAAAGAATTTCTCCTCCAGTAAGTGTCACATCAAGTCTAACTCAGTAAGGGAGAATATTTCAAAGATGCCACCTCTTATTTAGACCCACTAAATTAGATGAGATTAGTGGTCAAATAGGCAGCAGGCCAAATTGGAGCAATATTGATTTATCCTACATTTGATGTTGGCTTTCTTTTTACTTTTAAAACAGGAAAACAAGGAACTTTCATTCTCCATGCAAAATTTTAGTAGCAGGGAGGTGACATAACTCTGTTGATCTTCCTAGGAAGACTACCTAGAAAAGCTAAAAGAGCACTGATCAGAAAGCATACAAGCTAGCTGACCCTGTATGGTATCCAGCATGGAATACATATTGATTCTAAAAGTCTCTAGGTTCAGAGTCAACAAGTTTTGCAAAATCAGATGGACTGTATGCCATTAGGTTGTGTATTTGTGCAGCTCCTCACAATTGGTGGTCCAGGTAATAAACACATTTATCTCTTTCTTTTCTATAATAGATGGGAGCAAAGGCAGACTGATACATTGAGCAGTTATGTACACAAAGGTGCTAAAATGTCTGCACATTAAATAGCACTGAGTAATATTTGAGCGTTGAGATATTCTCCAAATTGGTTTTCAACTGATAAAGCTTCAAGTTCACTTAAGAATTCAGGAAAATGAAGAATGGATATTTCAGTTAGGAGTGAGAATCCTGTCTCCTAAGACTACTGTACGTGTGGACCCAATTACCCTTTTCTGCTGTCTTCAAAGCCCCCTCCAACCACTCTGTGAAAATCAGCATTTTGAGACAGAAAACATACAAAACCATAGCCCAAAGTTGGGTGATACCTTTATCGGGAGCAAACAAAATAACACAAAAGGATGTGCAAGCTTGATGGTCTTCAGAATCCTCCATCAGGCAAGATGTGTTACCATGATATATGAACCCAGTGAATTATAACAGTGCTAACTTAGTGGTTGTTTCTGACATGCTGTTAGCCATGATTGTATGGTCTGGTATGTGTGAACTCAGTCATGGCTTTTTTAAATGAACCATAATTGGCTGGATTCACACATACCAGCCCATACAATCATGGCTAACAGTAGCATAATTACTGGGTTCACAGAAATGTACTAAGCCCACAAACAAGGAAACCATACAATAGCATAGTGTGTTTTATGAACCTAGTCAGAATAAGGTTTGTTGTTGTTGTTGTTTAGTCGTTAAGTCGTGTCCGACTCTTCGTGACCCCATGAACCATATTGCGCCAGGCCTTCCTGTCCTTCACTGCCTCCC